TCTGTGGACACTTTTGAGAGCAGTGTGCCTGGCTGTGAGTCATTAAATGCCAGAAGCCCACAGGAGGGCAGAGCCATCAGCTGTGACATGGGAGCTCACACACCCGTGAAGTGGGACACAGACCAGTTTGCGATCGTTGGCTTGCATTTTCTAACTCCCTTTATGGGTGTTTTGGGGCATGGGGTGTTAAAGTCATGAGAAAGAGGACCAGGCTGGGAGGGGACCATGAAGGAAGCAGCAGTGTGGAGGAGCTGTGTGACCTGCCTGAGTCTTTGTCAAACTGAGATTCTCCAAGATGAGCTGAGAATGTACTGCTGGCTACTGTAGTGCTGCTGGCTGCTATGGAATCAGAAGTTTCTCGAAATTCTGCAAGCTAGAGAGGTCTCAGTTGTTGGTCACCTCTGGAATCCCAAAGAGGCCACAGGAACAGGGCTCCCCTGTTAACAGAAAAAGCATCTCTGAACCCTTGAAATCGTTCTGGGAACATGTAGCCTTTCCAGGGGTCTTTTATTCAGTTATACTTCGCCTTATGCAACATGAGCAGTCCTGCTGAGTGGCGTCTGTTATTCAAGCCTCAGAGGCAGTGGAGAGTTGTGATTTCTACCTCAGACTCTGAAACCGGGCTGCTTGATTCACATCTGGCTCTGCCACCAGTTCCCTGGCACTCACGTGTCACTGACACACTGTGCTTCAGAGTCCTGCGTCAAACCTGCCCAGGCCTGGTAGGTTGTTATGTGAGCACCTAAGGCCGTATGTATAAGGCAGAAAGCATACTGCCTGGCTACACAGCAAGTGCTACCAAGAAACTTGCTGAAGAAGTAAACAGTAAACGTATATCCCAGGCCTGTTCTGTAATGTAGCACCCTGTTCTCAAGGTCTCACATTAAATCCTTTTCTACCATGCAGAAAGTGAATATTTTTTGGAAATATGAGTGTTCATACATTGAATCAAAGTGCAGTGATTGGTATTATGAGATTAGTTGCATTTTCTTTCTTAAAAATGTTAAAAATGGGCCGGGGATTTGGCTCAGTGTTTCCGCCGCATGCCTTGCAAGTGCAAGGGCTTGAGTTTGATCCCCAGTACAAAAAAAATGTAAAAAGTTAAAAGAATTTAAAGTGGTAACAGCTAAACTTTATTTAGAAGTTACTGTCCTATAATGGGGATAGTTTCTTATGCCTCTTTAATTATTAACTAATTTAATCTCCCTTAATGACTCTGTATTAATGACTGAAGCTTCCAGTTTTCAGTGAAGAGCCTAGGTTCAAAGAGATTAACTGGCTTGCCCAAATGCACACACCATTCTGTGATGGTGAATAGGTTCTTTGTGTGTGTGTGTGTGTGTCTGTGTGTAGTATTGGAGGTTGAACCCAAGGCCTCATGCATACTAGGCAAACATCTACCACTGAGCTGCATTCCCAGCCCTTTTTATTTTGTTCTTAGGCATGGTCTCACTAAGTTGCCCAGGTTGCAAACTTGCAATCCTTCTGCTTCAGCCTCCTGAACAGCAGCAATTACAAGTGTGCACCATTGCATCTGGCCAGGCCAGATCTTTTCTTTACAGCTAATGTTCAGTTCAGGTGAACTCTCTGCTGTTCCAAGCTTTCCTCTGGCAAAAGCCATACAACTATTGGTTGGGGCTGGCAGGTTGGGGTTGTTGTAAGAGGTGCTTAAGGCATTTGCTTGGGTATACTTTCTGCCTTGGTCATAGGTAACAGAACCTGATTGCTACCTTGAGCAGAAAAAGCACTTATGGAGTATCCACAGAAGACCAAAGAACAAACTAGAGCAGGCATTAAGTAGTGTGGTTTCAGCCATGGTGGGCCTGGCCTCTGGGAGTCTTGTCTCATCCCATCCCCACCACCTGCATGTTTAGTGCCTACAGGAGCAGCTGATTGGCTGTGCCCAGGCTGTGTGACCCCATATGCACCCCTTCTCTCCAGGCTGCTCTGGCTCTCCCCACGCCCAAATGAAAAGTAAAAATCAAAATGATGGATGTGAGCTGTCTGAGGGCTCCACCCGGGTGCCCCCCACAGGCTTCCCCAGCCCGGGGTCTTGTGACTTCTTCAGTTTGAGGACCAGTGCTGTCTCCCTCTGCTATTTTCTCACCACACCTGCAAAGGAGCTTGACACCAATTCGGCTTCCAGCAAGTGTTTGTTGCGGAGTGTAATGAGCATGTTAGCCTTTGGCACGAAAGACAGTAAGAAGGCACACTTATTTATAACATCTAGCTTTTTGATTCAGAGCAGTCTGTTTCAGCAGCTGAGCTCCTTTTGTTTATCAGGAAAAAGGTGATATTTGTCATCCCTCCTAGCAAAAGGAGGAAGAAAACGCTTTTCAACATTTGAATGTTTTCGTGTATCTGTTTAATGCTTATGGATTGAATTGCAGTGAATTAGTTGAGCAGGGCTGTTGAAGGCAACTCATCTTGCATCATTATCTGCTCTTCCCTCCCTGTCTAATTCAACCACCACAATTATCACTCCTGCCTCCCCTCCGTCAGTCCTCGCCCCATTCCCCAAACGTTAGTCTGTAAGTCCCAATGGCTTTTCATCGTCTGCATCCTCCCCGTCACACCTGTCCCCCTCTCCCCAGCCTACCTCAGGCACTGGATCAGGTAGGTCTCCCTGCACCCCATCTTGCCCACTTGCCCTCCCAGCAGGCTGCTTTGGTTTCCCACCCACCATGCTGTGCAGTGCTGATCTTTTATCAGAAGAGTGGGGTGGTTAGAAGAGGAAGGATTCAAATGACTGACTGCCCCTTCGTGTCTGTGCCAGTGTGCATCTTGATGTAACTACCAAAGCCAACATACCATGGCTTGATCAATAGGAATTGCTTTGTCCTCAGCCACAGGTGGCCTGATTGGAGGCAGTTGTCGGTGTTCCTGCAGCTCCTCCTGCCTCAGGGGACAGATGCTTTCTTTTTCTGCCCATTCTAGTAGGTGTCTTTTGTCACCTCTTGCTACCCTACCTTCAGCTCTGAAGGGGCAGGGTGAGGGGCACTGTGGTGCTGGCTGAGGGTGCTCTTCTCTTAAGCTTTCTTGGAGGCTCCAGCAAGCAGCTCCAGACGACCTTGCAGGGTCTGGAATGGGGTCATACGCCATCCAGGTGTCGACCAGGCACATTGCCAGGGTTCCTCCTGCAAGGGATCTTCAGATGCCCACCCCATACCATCTCTTAGCATGTAGCAAGTGCTTACTAGCCTCTTGTGCTTTGCTTTTTAATATATTTTTAATAGGGAAAATTTTCACAGTAAACCAAGCATCATAATATTGACTGTGACTATCTCTGAATGACCATTTAGAATTCTGAAATTCTTTCCTCTCCTACCACTTACCTCACTTTGTCTTAATTTGAGCCCCTGTGACTTCTTATCTCTCAGCCCCGCTCCTTGCCCCTTTTTCCACCTATTAATCCTGAGAATTCATTTGTTTTTCTCTGCTCCCTGGCTGGCTTCAGAATGACACAGAGAAAAATGGCAGCAGGGTGCTGTGGGTACCGTGGCATCCACACCATTGCCTCTGAGGTGCCTGAGGTCAGTAGCCTCAGGTTTCCCCTTATAAAGACCTTTTCTCTACTGGTTGTTTCTAACTCATAGCCCTATTTTTTCTTTTCCTGCTAGCAGCCACTTCATTTCACTGTAACAGAGAAAACAGTGGCTGGGCAGGACAGCCCTGTGGGTCTCCCTTCCTGTTAAGGCACCGGTCTCCCATGAGAAGGCCTGACGGCCAGGGCCCATTTCTCCCAGGAGTGGGCTGCTCTTTCTCCTTCTGGGGCCTAATTGACCCCTTTGGTGTCTTCTTCTGCCTGCTTCTTCCTTTACGTTAGAGATTTGCTCACATGTTCCGTGAAGAAATAATGATGTTGATAAGTAACCTTTCTCCATCCCCAGGCCTTTGCTCACACAGCCTTTTCTTCCCACCTCATCTGCCTCTCTTCTCTGTTCCTTACGCTTCACAACAACCCAACAACAGCCCCCATGGAGCTCGGCCCATGCTAGATCCCAGCTGCCTGGCCTGCATCGCTTTGACACTCACACTCTCCCTCCCCTTCCCCAGGCCCTTTCTCTGTTATACCATTCTTCAGCACCTTCCCCCACTACCTTCTCCTTCCATTTTGGGAGAGATGTTTTCCACCCTCCCATGGTTTCCTGTCCTTGCTGATTCTAGTTCAGACTCAGTTCTTGGTTCTGAAGCTTCTGGACTCTTCTGTCTTCCTTATTTCTGGCCTGCCTCCGTGTGGTCTTACGCCTCACTCAACACTCCATGATCTTCCTACAGCCTGATGTGATCGTGACCCCCCACCCTGCGGGAAAATCTGCTTTAGATTGTCATGCCTTGGGAGCCAAGTCATGGGTCTGCCCTTCGTTATTTCGCCTTGGAGCACTGGGCTGTGGTTTAAGGGCACAGAGGAGGGAGAACAGAGCTGGAGTGGAGTGGGGCAGTAACGACCTGGAAAGGAGCTGTCATCTGAGACTCATGACATGGCTCAGCCTGTGCCTGCTCACCCTGACCCTCTGTTTCTGCTCTGTGCCCTGGGCTGGGTTATCCTGCACTTGCCAGGCCAAGCTGAAACATGCCCTCCCCTCCTTTTCCTGTCATCCCCAGGCTGTGTTGTTTCCCCTCTCATTGTCATGGTCTGGCTCAGCAACCTGCTTCCTCTTGCTTGGAACCACTTTCCCACAAACTGCTGTTTCCAGCCATGGCACTTCTCATTTGAACCTTGGAATTCGAGTTGTGTGTGCGCCCACCTCTTTCCCCATTCAATCAGAGCAACTGGAGATTGGGGATCGTGTCTTGGTCAACTGTGGATTGTCCTGGCCATTGGCACCCAGCTCCATACCATACGGGGACAGCTGGAGGGGGGTTGGTGAAGGGTTGTGTTCAAAGCATTCGAGGGAAACCGGGTTTGGAGGTCTTATCTTAGTAAACAAAGACACAGACTCACTTGGTATCCAGTCATGACAATTCTCAGTCTGCATTTGTTCAACTTTCTAAACCAGTGCTTAGAAAGAGCCATGAAGTTCGCCTTTGAGGAGTTCCACCTGTGGTACCAGTTCGCTCTCTCGCTGATGGCTGCTGGAAAAGTGAGTCGCCCTTCACAACGTGCAGTTCTGTGTGTCTGTGGCTATGTCTTGAATGTCCTAGGATGATCTTGTAGAAGTCTAAGGCATTATTTTGAACTGAGCTGTGTTCCTAAATTTAACAATTTGGGAGCCAAGATGGGCATAACACTGAGAAGAAAAACTGAAATGCCACTGTCACTCATTTATGTGACTTGGACGTGGCTTAAGCTGAAGCTGTTTCTGACCCTGGCCCTCATTTGCAGGTGTAAATGTGGTCTTGGAGGGGGAGGTCTTTTGGTCTTTGGCATTCTGTGGTATAGACAGTGTTGGCTGAAAGCATGGGCTCTGGAGTACAGCTGGTGTGTGGAAACTGGACCATCTCAGAGCTAAGTGTCCAGGGCGAGTCACTTAGTGCCTCAGTCTCCCCTGGAGTAAAATAGGCTGTAATAATCCCTGCTTCATGGAAAGAGCTATGTACAAGGTGCTTAGGAGAGCAACCCGAACTGCGTAAGCACTCAGCAGAGATATAGCCATTGCAGTACTTGTTAATTTGGACCAGTCAGTGAATTGTTAGGTCTGAGATACAAGATTATTGGGGCAAAGTAGATTCAGAAATTTAGTCTGATATGCTGTATATTGGGTGTTTACTTATTATTGTAGCATAAGCCTCCATGGTCTATTTTTTCTTATTTTACAGTGGCTACCAATAGATAACTAGATAGGGTGACCCAGGGGAGCATTTGCACTTGTTTTTAACCTGTTTACTCTGCTGTCACTCAGGACCCCAAGCTCTGGTTGTCTCAGTCCCCAGGCTCTGTTTGGTTGGAAAAGCCTTTTCACAGGTGGACCGACCGAAATGCGTCTGGAAGGCTGAGAAGGCTGTACAGTCGGGTTCTGTCCAGAAGTTTTGAGTTTCACAGAAACCCTCTCTTTCCAAGTCTGCTCGAGCCGTGAAGGTGCTGAAAGAGTGCATCCGCCTCAAGCCTGACGACGCCACCATCCCGCTCCTCGCTGCCAAGCTGTGCATGGGCTCCCTGCACTGGGTGAGTAGGAGACGTGGTCCCCACACCTCAGAACGGGGCCCAGGGCAGGGCTGCCAGCCTTTCCTGTGTCAGCTACACACAGACGAGGCCACTTACACAGCCTCAGCCCCAATCCTAGGCCCCTGGCTCCTTGGGCCTTCCCCACCCACTGCGATCCTGTGTTCTCAGGCACTCTGGGATTTCTTTTTCACAGGAATGTGCTTCAAAACGTAGCAATGATGGGATAAGTTAGTAAGTCGTATAGGACAGAGACAGTGCACCATGTGGATGACTCATTCTCGGCCCAGCCTGGGACTTTTCTCTAAAGAGTCATTGGCTACTTTAGCTCAACTTTCTTCTTTCTCTGTCTTCACGTACACCCTTGCTGCACCCTTGTTTTCTTCCACGTGTTCTCCCCCAGCAGAAGAGAAGGAAGCCTTGTGAAGAAAGCAATCCCGTCTTACTCGGTTTTGCTTGAGAAACCATAGACAAGAAAAGCAGGCAGGCTCTTACCTGTAAAGCACAGCTCTCTGTGGTCCATGGGTTTTGAGAGGTTGGGGCTGTAAGGGCAGGCGGTGTGGGCAGGACTGGGCGTGGGTGGAGGAGTGGACTGGACCAGTGTGGAACGTGCCAGTTTCCAGCAGTGACTCCTGCCGTCCTTCCTGCCCTGTTCATTCCTGTAACAGGTACATCTGTAAACACCTGAAGTAAGCCTCTTAAGAGATGGGTGTAACAAATCCTTTCTGTATGGTTTTCTTACATTCTTATCGTTAAAATTTTTGAAATACCTCAGCAGTCAAGAGTATTATGAACTCCATGTACGATCACCCAGCTTCAGTAACATCTACATTCATATGCTTTTGAAGGAACAAATCTTATTATTTTTGCCTCTAATGAATTGTGCAATAGGCCTCCTGGTGGATGTGTTTACAGGTGCACATTTTCTCAGTGGAATCTGCTGGTATGATGTCTGTCTGTTGTGCACTATAAAATAAGAAGATGGAGTTTAGAAATTTTCAATAGCATGTGACAAAGAGAATCCAAGCCTAGATTGATTCTTTCTGTCATGAAAAAAGAAAAAAAAACCCAAACATAAAATATTCCAAGCACCTTGTTCTTTTTTTTTTTTTTGGTATCAGGGATTGAACTCAGGACCTTGTGTTTGTGAAGCAGGCAGTGGAACCACTGAGCTAAATCCCAGCCTTCAAACACCTTATTCTTTACCAATGTATTTATTCCAACATCTGAGTACCTAGCACAACCTCATTACAGAAACAACTGTAAGAGATAAAGATGACAAAGATAGAACCCTACAAGTATAAAAGTGACTTTGGAAACAAAGGCAAACAAGCGATATGGAAAATGTTAAAGAAAAAAAAAGGCAAGATAGAAGTCCTGAGAATTATTGTTAAAGAGGCTCAATAAAGAAGACAGAATCACCAGAGTGGGATTGGAAGGTTTGGGAGTCATTTTCAAAGCGACATATCATAAATCTACTCTTGGTAGCACATGCTTATGGGAACTCATGTTCCAAATTCTGCAGGTCATTGTTGTTGTTTTTAACTTGTCTCCTTTTTCAGTTGGAAGAGGCTGAGAAGTTTGCCAAAACTGTTGTTGATGTGGGAGAAAAAACATCAGAGTTCAAGGCCAAAGGCTACTTAGCTCTCGGGCTCACATACAGTCTGCAGGCCACTGACGGTGAGAGAAGTCCCTCCCTACGGAGCCTGGGTCCACACTGCAGGAGCCCACAGTCTCTTTCTGTCTTAGGAGGAAGCAGGAGATGGGTCGTTCAGGCGTGCTGTCCTGTGAGGCCCCAGTGTTGCTGTCCCCTTTGCTTGGACTTAGAGGGGAGGGGAAGAGCCCTGTTCACAGGTGCATGGGCCGATGGTGCTGTGGAGTCCTACCTGGCAGGTGTGAGGGCAAGGTCTTGAGATGATTTGCCCAACCTCGCTTTGCCCCTGCTCTGGCCCCAGTCTTTGGTCTGGGCTAGAAATGAGTAAAAGGGTGTTAGATCTTAGGTACAGGACTGTGGGAGAGTTCAGGACCGCACCCTCCCAGGAATTGTCCCTTGACTGGTCAGGAATTGTCCTTTTTTCCATTCACATGTTTTAATTCAAAGATATGTGCACATGTAGTACAGTAGCTCACCAAGTGTCTATGGCTCTCAGGGGCAAGGATTTGTATTGTTTGAATATACTTATAGTTTTGTTGGATGAGCTTCTGGCTTTAAAATATCTTAATGATGGTTTATCTACTTAATGAAGTTTTCAATGATATATTTGCATAAAGTGTAAATTGATAAGTTGCTTTTCTGATCTCTTATTCTTAATAATTGTTAAAATGAGTATAAAAGAAACCTTTCAAAAATAAATATGTAACAACGAATTAGCCTAAGGCAAAATGCCCTTGTAGCCACACCCTGCTCAGGAGGCACCAGTTGAGCCTTCCACGTGCCCCTGCCAATCACTACCCCCCACTCTGTTAACAGGAAATAGTACTTTGAATGTAAGTGTTCACTCCCTTAAATTAACTCAGATCCTTCTTTTCTCTGCCTTAAAATACCAATGACCCTGGGCAAGTTTGCATGTCAATCCCTTTTTAATCATGGACTTTTGACTCATTTTCCATGTGTATGTGTGGCATATTGACCACACTCAGCATGTTTCTCCAAATATATAATAGACTTGCAATGAAGAGTAAATGTAGTGCCTGTAGACTTATCTGTGTAATCTCTTAGTTCAGACTACCCCTAGTCAGCCCTGTAACTCTAGGAGCTCCTGAACCCTGTGGGGCCTTCTGTTGCATTCAGGGTTGTGTTTTGTCTCCTTGGGGTTCTCTGTAGCTCAGTGGCTGCTCTAAGGTAGCTCTGGGCTACAGCCACATGCAGCCCCCTGGGCCTGCAATCTGCAGGGCAGCTAATGGATAAGGGCCTCTCACAGTTCCCACCATAAACCCTTCCCCCAGCACTTGTATTCTTGTCCCAGTAAAAAGGACTCTTTCTCGTTGATGAACAGGCTGAAGGGAGCCACTTCTGTGCTCTATGCGGGGAAGTGTTGATTCTCACCAGATGGACCACACTTTGCAGCCAATCTGCCTGTGTCATTGTTGGGTGTGGAGCTCTATCCCCTGTGTTCAATATGCTGGCCATGTCCCGGAGTGAACTAACCTGCTTTTAATAGCATCCAGTTAGTGCCTTTGACATCAGATCATAGCTTCTTAGTCCCAGAAGGACTTGTAAGGGCAAACTGATTCAATATCATTGGTGCTTAAATCCTGTCTATACCATCCCAGGGGGCCAATCTGTAGTTACACACTTCATACTTGGGAGGACCAATGTGCTCCTCCTGCAGTTCCCAACTGCCTGTTGAACATGGTCTCCATGTATGTGGGGCTAGGAAGAGTGACCATGCAATGGTCAACAATGCCGCCCTGGCACTGTTCCACGGCCTGCACCCTGAGTGCAGGTACCTTCAGGGTGTGACTGGCTTCATGTCCTGTGTCTCAGCACCTGATGCAGTAGACACTCAGGAATGATTGCTTTCAATCCAGGTGACCGTATGATCCTTGTGATGCATTTTGTTTTGTTTTGTTTTTTCTCTCATTGAGTTTATTGGTACATTTTAGGTATACAGTACAGTTACATTCATTATTGGGATCTTGTACCTTTACATGACAGGTCTTGGTTCTCATTTTTTTCCCTTGTCCCTGCCCTCCCTTCAGCCCCTCCTCCCGCAATGCATTTTATATTGTCAAAAAATCCCAATCTCCCATGCCACTCACTAACTGAACCTTTTCCTTAGCTTCTTTGCGAGGGATGCAGGAAGTCCTGCAGAGGAAGGCTCTTCTTGCATTTCAGAGGTGAGTGGGAGTTCAGATTTTCACTCAGCTGTACATAATGACACCAAAGATGATACGTGTAAAAAGCAGGGATGTTTATAAAGATTATGTAAACAGCATTTTGCCCCTGGGAGCCTCTGGTCCCGAGCATTGAACACACAGCATCAAAACTCGCTGCATCACTTATTGCCAAGCAAATCTGCATTCTTAATCTGTTTATCCATGTAGGTACATTTTATTCATTCCTGATAAAGTGAGTTCAGCTCAAAAAAGAGATACTCCATGACTAGGGAAATGGCTTCTTTATTGAAAACATTTGTCATCATCTAGAAAAGGGATCATTCTTTTCTGGCTTTAAAAAAATGTGTCAAACTGCGAGTTTTTAATCTTAAGAAATGAAGAAAAAAAAAACCAACTACATTTGAGAAAGTTTCTCAGATATCATTAAATCAGCCATCTCAGAGAGTCCAGACACCCTACCCCTACCTAGATCCGTGATGCCTTGTGCTAGTCTCTGTCATTGTACCTTTGATGAACTCAGGACAGTGCCTTATAATTATAAAATGCTGGAGTGTCCCAGTGCTCTTTCACACTGCTCATATACTGACAAGTAGATGGGACAAGTAGTAACGCCAGTACAGTAAGGACTGATGTGCAGGAGTCACGGTCCCCTAGAGTGAAGTCAGTGTCGAATCAAGGTCTCCTGACTCTAACCTAGTTTTTCTTATACCTGTTATACTGATTACACTGTCCTAACTTTACCCCTATTACAGCTATAATAAATCACTAAAGTGAAATTACTGCCTGAAAGTATAGCCCTGTGATGTGACTCTAGAAGTAGAATTGATCCTATCACCTTAAATACATCTGAGTTACTTTGACTTCTTAGGGTTATATTTGAAACTAGTAACTTAATTTAAAATTTCATGAGGCCTTTCCACTCCCTACTCCCTGCATTAGATCTAGATCCTTCCCTTAGAGCCAAGGTTGCCCACAAACAAGATCTGTCATGGCCTCCATGTGCATTTTTTCGTGAAGCCATTACCATTGGTTTCAGTTAAGCCTGAAACACTTCCATCTTATTTCTTTCTGTTTCCTAGCAGCTTGTCAATCGCCCTTTCACTTTGCAGTCCCAGTCTGGTTAATGACAAAAAGTACCAGTTGACATCTGCAAACAGACCTCCTGTCTCTGTGCTAGGCTTTTGTTGGTGTTCTTCAGCACGGAGTGTGGAAAGCATTTCCATTTCAAATGATTTTGAGTTTTAAATTCTCCAGTCCTAGTTTGTAAAACCCACACATGGATGCCTAAGAAAGTGGCCATTACATCTGTTTCACTCTTCTTAAACCAGCACATCTTACTGGCTCTCTAAAAATAGCCACAGTGGTGGTCTGCCTGGAGCTGCCAGCGTAACTCCACATTGCATAACACTTGTTCCGTTGGCCCAAATTCTCTTTGTTCCTTTTCTGCTTGGGTTTTAATTCAAAGATTTTAAAATATTACTTCATATAGGAATAAAGAGCAGTAAAATCACATACCTGACTGTATTATGAAAAGCTAACCTAGATTCTTTCTGTGAAATACAGAATGTTTTTCAAAGAAATGAAATTATTTTGGTTCAAGTACACATTGACTATTTTAGTGAGTATAGGCCTAACAAATATCAAGAGTGATGTGTATTACTTTTAAAATGTAAATAGTTAATTTTAAACCACTTGGATAAGAGGTACTTTTCCTACTATGTCTTTTATGTATTCTCACTCACAGTTCTGTTTCTATTATTGTTTTGCATTTTTTGTTTAAAAAGAAACTGCAATTCAAAAAAGCATGAGTTTGCAAATATCACATGTGAAAATTAGCTCTTCATTATGATGAAAGCCAAATTTCAGAAAGATTTACTGCCTAGGGGATTCAAACAGGTCATTTTTTAAGATGCCCAAGTGGTATACTGGAACCCCTGAGCTTAAACCAACCAACTCAGCCTGTTCATTTGTCCTGTATAAAAGCAGAGAGAAGGAAACCTGAATGTCATTTGCAGCATTACAAGGTGTAGTTTCTGCGGGCTTTCATGTCCTACTGAGAAAAGCAATCCTGAGAACAGCTGAGATCATGTTTCAGTGCATTGACCCATGCATGCAGAAAGCCAGAGCTGCTCCTGGAGAAAGAGGCGGTGTGGTACCCTTTCTGTGTGTTACTCAGTGTGGCACAGGATACATGATCTCATTTTATTTTTTTCTCTCCCTCCTAGCTTGAGTTTAAATGTGATATTTTTTTGTGTGTAGGATAGCTAACCATCTTGATTTCTTGGGTACTGAAACATTTCTCAAAACATTGATAAAGCCAAGAAAATCCTAGGCAAACCAAATCAGTCAGTCGCCTTGTGTGTATAACTAGTGGCAGACCCCTGAGTACAAGTCTAACCATGTGTACACATATTTTCTCAGCTCAGTGCACCAATCCCATGCCCACTGTAATCAAGTCTGAAGAAGGCCGGGGATTTTAGCTCAGTAGTTCCACCTCCTGCCTCAAACGTACAAGGTCCTGAGTTAGATCCTTGATACCAAAAAAAAAAAAAAAAAAA